AACTGTTTTTACTGTATTTTTTTTATTTTTAATCAAATAAAGGCAAACTTGGTGAGCAGGAGACTGTTTTAAAAACATTAAAAATCTTATTGATCCCCAACGTTTGAACGGCAGTGTGCGTTCATCAGGAAGTTGAGACTGAATTACTGACAACTTGTTTCAGTTTCAGAATCACTTCTTTCTTTTGAAGACAAAACCTCCTTTTATCTGCACCTTACAACATTTATCCACTCTTATAACTTTTAAACTTTGCAGACTTTTACACTCACAAACATCTCTATTACACACTCCATGAAAGGGCTATCAGGAACAGCACAACAGAGGCACTTTAAAGCATGGATGTGTGTGTGTGTGTGTGCTCAGACTCAGGGGCGCGCTGCTGTCAGCTGCTGCTGTCGGTGTTCCAGCACCCGTTGCCGAGCTCTCTCGGCTCCCTAACATCCACTCGCTGGCCCCGGGGCTCGTGGAGCAGCTGAGGAGCGTGGAGCAGAACCGGCCCTCCACGCCTGCCCAACTACAGGCCGTACAGGACGGGGTTAAAGTGCTGGAGAGCCTCGTCGCCATGGCAGAGGAACACAGCCGTAAGTGCTCGCCAGTTACCGAATAAAGCCTACTGTATCATATTTGATACGCAAATACCTTTAAAGGGGACATAGCACTTAAACTTTTTCATGATTTCATAATTGGTCACGGTGCTTTCTACCAACCCAGAAAACATAAAAACCCAGTAACTCTGATCTGGTGAGTCTTTCTCTGAGAGAATGTTATAAAATATAAAATTTCTTATTATAATACTCCCGACCCTTAATCTGCACGTTTTACACGCACACCAACAGAGCCCAGTTCTAACGCACTGGAGAAGATCCAGCGACGCCTGAAACCACAGTTGAAAGTACAAAAATGAGCAGCTGCATGTCAAGTTCTTCCCTTAACCCGCTCTGTGTCCCGCAGGAGTTCAGTTGCTGGCTCTGCTGGTGCCGACGCTCATCTCATACCTGCTGGACGAGACGAGTGTCTCCACGGCACCCAGCTGCTCCACAGGCCTGCACGAGTTCGCCCTGCAGAACCTGATGCACATCGGGCCGCTGTACCCCGCAGCCTTCAAGACCGTCATGGGGGCAGCGCCAGAACTCAAGACCCGGCTCGAGGCGGCCATCAGATCCACACAGGCCAACAGCAAAGCCAAGGCGGCGGCCAGACAGGCTCAGCCCAGTGTGCAAGCGGCGCCCACCATCAAACTCAAGACCAGCTTCTTCTAGTCCATCACCTGGATGTCTGTAGAACGCTGACGTGAATAAAAGTTACAGTGACGCTGTCATAAATCATAAGGATCTGTTACAAGCTTTACATCTTGTTTGTTTTTATGGACACATTTGAAATGCACCTTCATTCAAACTTAATAACCTACTTTTGAAAGCTCACGTTACACTGGTGGAAATAGAGATTCCCATTTACCTGAATATTTCCATGAACACATTCCCATGTTGTTGTTGTTTTTTTAACTGTGTTGCTTTTATTATAATTTAAGCCTCATATCATATTTATAAATTTTCCAGAAATTTCACAAAAATGTGTGGTTTCTGGTCAGTAATGATCATTGTTTTAAAGATTCAAGTATGAACTACTTGACTTCTGCTGTGGTTGTCTATGAATTCGGCTGAATCGCTGTTTAAATGTTGTTGGGGTCTGGGAATCTAATGAATATTTTACAGTTGCTCAATGCTGGAGTTCTTGTTTGAGCTTTTAATAACTTGATTATGTCTGCCTTTCATTGCCTGTCATTCATTAAGTAAAAATATGTAATATATGCACCATTGCCTGTCATTCATATACAAATAATGTCCCAAAAACCGTCCATAAGAGATTAGATGGTTGATCCTGCACAGTTGTTCTCATGTATTCAAGCTATCGGGTGTAAAACCTAAGATATAAGCTTGATTTGCCCGACCTGATGCAGATCTCACTGGTTAAGGCTGGGTAGGGTGAGGGATTAGATGATCAGGAGTGCCTAAGCCTATAAAGATCGCTAATTTGGGCAAAATACCAGGTATAAATCGGCTGAAGCGACACATCCTGGCAGTTGCAATAGTACGGCAGGCTATGCAATACTCGTTCCCTTACTCTTAGGGAACCAAGGTTACGTTCCCTTTTTGAGAACGGTCACTTCATATTGCATTGCTAATACGAAGTGGGGACGAAATGTAAAACGCTGCATATTAGCAACTGGCTGAATTAACCAGAGCCTAGGTAAACAACACGAACATGCCATGATCAGTCTCCCAGTATAGTGACACTAACCGGACCGGGTCGGGTTCAGGATTAAAACTGGGACTCATAACCATCCTAGGCCTACTTGTGCTTATGGACAGTAACATGCACTCTGAGGGGACCCTGGCCTGCAGGCAAGGAACCTCCAGATTATAAAATCGGAGAAATGTCGACAGCGAGGACCAGCTGGCCGCTGCACAAATATCTTGAATTGGTACACCACCGGACCACGCCCACGATGATTCTATGCCTCTCGTGGAATGGGCTTTAGCACCTATGGGACAGACCTGGACCCAGCGAGATTGCGTCCACTATCCATCTGGATAGTCTCTGTTTTTTCGTGACTGCCTAACCGGTGCAGAACACTCCAAGTATATTTTTAGAGCCCTAGCGGGACACAGCTGATTAGTGCCACCACAATTTTCTGGAAGTGCTAGCAGAGTAATGACCTGAGCTCTGAATGGGGTTGACAGCACCTTAGGTACACACCCGTGCCTTGGCTTGAGAGTGACTCTGGAGTCATTTATCCCAAAATCCAGGCAGGATGGGCTCACAGAGAATCCCTCACTCTCTTGACTGATACCAAGCCAGCAGCAGAGCAGTCTTCAGTGAAAGTGGTTTGAGGTCGACCGTCTGTAGCGGGGTGGCCATACTAAGGACCCTTTCTAAGTAACCCCAAGGACCGTGGAAAAGACCCATTCTGGTATAGTGGGAGACCTGGGGGTTCAACCTCCTGGCTCCTTTGAGAAAACGAATGATAAGGTTGTTTCTCCCCAGCGACTGGCCAGCCAGAGGAGCATGGTGAACTGCCATGGCCATCACGTACACTTTGAGCATGGATGGGGAGCGGCACGCATCCAGGAGCTCTTGTAAGAAAGAGCACCACTGACACTTCACATGATTGGGGCTCAAAGTCTATGGCTGAGCACCAGCCAGCAAATACTGACCACTTTAAAGCAAAGAGGCATCTTGTAGATGTTGTTCTAGCCTCAGTGATGGTGTTTAAGACCTTTTCTGGAAGGTCCCTGAAAACCAGTTCAGGGGCCATACATGGAGTTGGGGCAAGGGTGCCAGATCGCCCTGCACAGGGGCCCCTGAGACTCGACACCCTGCACAGAGGCCCCAGAGACCCGACACCCTGCCCAGGGGGCCCAGAGACCCGACACCCTGCACAGGGGGCCCAGAGACCCGACACCCTTCACAGGGCCCCAGAGACCCGACACCCTGCACAGGGGCCCCAGAGACCCGACACCCTTCTCAGGGACCCCAGAGACCCGACACCCTGCACAGGGGCCCCAGAGACTCGACACCCTGCACAGGGGCCCCAGAGACCCGACACCCTTCACAGAGGACACCCTCCCCAGAGACCCTTCACAGGGGCCCCAGAGACCCTAGCTGTGTGCGTCAGTGTTCAGAAGAAAAGAGTGTGTGTTTGTTTGGACTCATTGAGACTCAATGGTTCTCACGGTCTCATTTCCAACACCTGCGCTTCATGTCCTGTTTGTATGCTCAAATAACCTGACGGTTCATTCAGTCTCATTAGCTGAGCTCCGTTTCCTGTGTTTCCTGGTATTGTGGGTTTGATTATGGCTCTATATGCAGTTCTTGTGTTTATGATTACATTTTGGATTCGTTTCTTGTTTTGTGGATTGTTGTCATGTGTTTTGACCAATTTAGATTATTTAGTGTATGAATCATAATATTTTAATATTGTTCATGTAATAAATACATGAATGAATATATTCAAATATGCCTTTTAAACAGTTTTTTAATGTAATATTGCAACATAAATGATCATGGAAAGTTGCACTTGCATGACAAAACCTTGTTACAGTTTTTTTGAATGCATTAAAAATAAAATCCAATGCAAAGTCAGGAAAAATCAGTTCTGTAATTGTGAGTTTAATCTGGAGAGGTGTTTGATCATAAAGTGATCATAAAGTGCATGGCGTAGTTTACTGCTCTTTCCATTGGATTAGATTTTTTTTTAATCTATTTAAAAAAAAACTAATGAGGTTTTGTGATGCATGAGCAACTTGCAAGATGCATGAACATGTGCAAATGCAAATGTAATGTGGAGGGATGCTTTCATAAAGTGATCAAGTGCATGTTATAGTTTACTGCTCAGATTCAACAGTAGAGGACATTTATGATTCATGCATTGAAACAATGTGGACTCGAATGACATTACAAACTGACCTATATCAAATATGAGCACAATGCCTGGCATCAGTGAGTTTATTAAACAGCCTGTGGAGGGAGACACATCCTCGAGCCCGAGCAACAAACCCATCAAACCCATTAAACTCCCGCAGCGGGAAACGACGTTAACGACCTGTTCTCCGCTCCCACATTCCTCCGCGGCGGCGATGATGACGTCACGAAGTGTTCCTCAAACATCCCGACACCAGACCCTCCTCATCCTCTCCGGACTCCTCTGCGACTCACTGCCTCTCAGGACCCGACACCGGACCTCATCCTCCCGGACTCACAGTCTCTCAGGTGAGTTTCAGCAATATGAAGAATTATATGAGCTTCGATAAAATCCAGTTTGTTCATTTTATAGAACAAACATTATTTATTAGAACATTTTTGAATAAAAGTGTGTTAAACAGTGATGTCTTTGCGTTTTGGATTTGAAGTGAATTCATAAAACAGACTATTGTGCAGAAACAGATCATATTAGCTACTAATATCGTACGGTAAGTATGCGACTGATTGATATGCACTGAACACACTGTTAAAGTGTTTTATGGCGGCGTGTTATTGCATTTTAAATAGTTGCTTTAACTTTTAAACACATTTCTAGAAGTATGCGCCTGGAGCTGAGCCAATGGAAGCAGAGGGAAGGGTTGTCACATGTTTTCTGTGATGATGTACTGGTGTGTTGTTCTGATGTGTTTAACCCATGTAGAACCAGTATGATGCTGGGAATGTTCCTGATAATGACAGCTGTTGCCGGTGCTGTTGCTCAAGAGGCAGAAGAGCCCGTCTCATATACGGCAAGTGCATTATTAACCTGTCACGATTATTAATTAATCATACATGATCCTTTCTATCTACCAATCAGATTTGTGATTTTCAGAAGTTTACAGTGTAGAAGTTTAATCTTACAATTAGGTTTAGTGCTTCTACATTAGTGTGATTCACCATCAGCTCCCTCTGATTTTAGGGATAAGTTACAGTTATGTTAATGATTATGTTTATGGATAAGTTACAGTCAGGGTTATGGAAAAGTTACGGTTATGTTTATGGATCAGTTACGGTCAGGGATAGCTTTATGGATAAGTTACAGTTAGGTTTATGTTAGCCTGTGGAGTTACAGTTAGGTTTATGGATTAGTTACGGTTATGTCAATGGATAAGTTATGGTCAGGGTTATGGATAATTTATGGTTATGTTCATGGATAAGTTACGGTCAGGGTTATTATGGATATGTTACGGTTATGTTTATGGATAAGTTACGGTTATGTTTATGGATAAGTTACGGTTATGTTTATGGATAAGTTACGGTTATGTTTATGGATAAGTTACGGTTATGTTTATGGATAAGTTACGGTTATGTTAATGGATAAGTTACGGTTAATGGATAAGTTACGGTTATGTTCATGGATAAGTTATGGTCAGGGTTATGTTTTTTGAATACGGCTAAGACTACATTTTCAGACAGGAATGTTTTTTCCAGGATCAACAAAATATGTTGATTTAGGAATTTGGCCAAATCATGTTACCATTAATCACGTTTATTCAATCTAATTACAATTATTTGAGATAACTGCAAAAATGACATTTTACATCTAAATAAGGGGATATTAAATGATCATGAAATGGCATCAGACGCCCACACTGAACTACAGCTGAAAGACCCTGAGCTGGTCGGCCTGATGTCAGATGGTTTTATTAGAGGTTTGGACAATTCCTCTTTTTTTACCTTCCAGGGGGTCAATCAGGGAAACCAGCTCAGGATCTTTTAGCTGTGTATTCAGTGTGGACATCTGATGCCATTTCATGGGCTTATTTAGATGGCAAAGTGTAATGTTTGCGGTGATCTCTAATAAGGGGTGGAAAAACACTTCCTTCGTTTGAAATGATCGTGACAGGCCTGTTTACATACATGTGTGATTGTGTTGTTATTACAGCTCATATATGTGTTCAACTGACTGTTATTGTTCACAGTGCACAGAAGGCTATGAATATGATCCCGTTAAAGAGGTATGCACAGGTAATAACCTTCAGTGCGGTTGATATAACACTCTCTCTCTGGTCTTGTAAGCACAACTGTTGTGTTTCTGTGTTTGAGAAGGAAACCGAAGGCCACAGTAACGGCGGTTTCTCTCCGTGTGTGTGAACAGATGTTGACGAGTGCGCCCTTGTTTCTGATGCCTGTAAAGGGGGCATGAGGTGCATAAACCACTACGGCGGATACCTCTGCCTCCCTCAGAACGCACAGATCTTCGTCAGCGACGGGGACGAGTCCTCACACTCATCAAACCCACCGAACCCTCGGACCCGCTCGGACCCCAGAGCCGGAGACGCACGCTGCT